AGCATCCATGATCTAGAGCATTCATGCTGGCCAAGATAATATCGTTCATGTTCCTAGTGCATCCATTATCTAGAGCATCCATGCTGGCCAAGATAATATCGTCATGTTCCTAGTGCATCCATGATCGAGAGCATCCATGGGATAATAACGTTCGTGTTCCTAGTGCATCCATGAAACAATAGTTTCCACTACTGGTCCTCGTACAGGTTCCCCACAATTATCAATGAACGCAAGTATTGTTGGGAAATTCCATGACCTCCCAAATACACCTTATATCGCAAAGACACTGTATTTCAGTTTTTTTTGCGTTTCCCTAACGTGCAAAACATAGGGGCGGCAGGTCAGCCGGCTACCCATTTCAGCTGTTGTTTTTACATGTCCAGCACTGGAAGCTCCAACACCGCAGCCGCCTAAACTGCTTGACATGGGCTCGAATAGGAAATGTCCTCCGGCTCATTGTCTTCATCAGAATCCATCCATGCAAATTCCTTCCTCAACTATGAAAAGTGGTGCCCTGAGAAGCTCCCATGGCGAGCATCATCACTTACCAATCACCAAAAGCTGAGCCGAAAGCTGTCTTTTGGGTACATCAGCGCGCTTGCCGGTTGCCTTGGAACTGACGCAACTTGGTTGAGGCTCACATATCACTCGATGTCATTATCTCGCCAGGCGTCGCTCATTGGGCTCTCACCTGCGCGAAGAACCGTACTTGGCTCTTCAACTGTCGCTGGTTTTTCTGCACGCGCTTTGTTCGCAGGTATTTTTGCAACCTCACATGCAAGCTGCACAAATGCATGGCACATACACACACATGTCTTCACGAAAAGACCACCGATTCAGATAAACTCTTGCAGCACGAGTTCCATTCTGAGGTTGTCTGACGAGTCATCGGACTCTTCTTGCGCAGCGGTGCATATGGCCTTTCTCTTCATGTCCCAGTAGGGGCGCCCCTACTGTTTGTCTAACGGTCCTGTTTTTTTCAATACATTGGCAGAGCCAAAGCTGAAAACACCATGCTTTGCACAATTCAACAATGTTCACCAACAAGCAATCAACCGAAGCAATCCCATTCCGAGCTCGTGTCCGAATGAATCCAGCTGCAAAAGCCACATGCTTGGCGGCTTGGCGATACTCATTTCCGGATTTGTCATACACATGCAAGCAGACAACCATGCAATGTGGCATGATGGCAAGTTCAAATGCATTCGCTGAACCAAAATGCTCGCATGACTCTGAGCCTGGGTGTGTAAACGTGTTGAAAACCAAGTACAAGCCACAAATGTTTGTAATTACGTGCGGCGGCATGTCAGCTGCACTTGTTCCACCCATGTCCCAGCATTGTCATGCCAAGCGGATTCTGCGAAGCAAACAACAGCCTAACACCCGACAACGAGCAACCAGAAGCTACACAGTTGTCAAGCTTGCCATCGGGGGATGTGGATGGGACAGGGTTGCAGACTATGCGACGCTGGTCACTTCCTGCGACCGAACATCTACACACCTTGGAGCCCTGGCCTTCAATGGTGAAATCGGGCAATACAAACCACAAAATCTGTTTTGGCACAAACCTTTTCAAAAAAATTGACACGGCCCACTTAATTATCTCTTGAACGCACGGCAAGCCCAGCATTTCCCATGCTAAGCCAGGCTACTTTGAGAATCGCATGTCCAAGCAAGTGTGCGAAATGTGGAGCTGAAACGAAAAGACTGTTCTGCCAACCTCCGCCTGCCACAAGTACAAACAAAGCTGCAAAACTGATGTGCAAAGCCAATGAACGCAACGAAGAAAGCATCACATTGCAAGAAAAAAATTCATGTCACCTCCATTCATGCGATGTCTACCATACACAATTGAACTCTTTTAAACAACATCTTCTGACCCAAAACCTAATATACCACAAGCTCAACGTTGCAAAAATGGGCCTTGCGCCTTTTTTCCGCGCGTGTTATGAAGCATTTACAAGTCACGGTCTCCTCGCGGTACACATGTACGTTTACTCGCTTACTTCCCCTCACCAGCCATTACCCAGAAGGTTTGTAAGACTTGCATGTCATTGCGCGCACAACGTCACGTGGGAGGCAATCGCATTGCAACGTTAGCTATGCTTCGGTGCAAACAAAACGCAACACAGATGCAACAAGCAGCATGCATCAACGTCTCACGAAACCATGTCAAACTTACTCAATTCTACACTGCCCTTGATTTCGAGTGACTGGAACTTTATTTGCTGATTGCAAATTGAAGCAATTTTCGCTCAAATCCAAATCATGTGACACAGCTTTGATTCACATCCCATTCTTCCAAAGATATCCAATATCTTCAATCTTTATGTTGGGTCTTTCGCAAAAATACACTTGCACAACTTACCGGAGAGGCCCCGCTCACTCTTTGCACGAACAGCCCTGCCGAAAGCTCGGACAGCGGTGAACTCACGGGCGCGAGGGTGTGCCAAAAATTCAAGCCGTCCGCCCTCCCAGCCTAAATGGCTACACAACCAAATCATGCCATTCTCAACAGGATCAAACGGAAAATTGTTTCACGTGAATTTCCAAACAGATTCACTGGTTCTGCAAACACAAATAACGACTTCTCAATCACGATTGAAAATAGTCCTATTTGCTGTTTGCAAATTGAAGCAATTTTCGCTTAAATCCAAATCATATGAAATAGCTTTCATTCACATCCCAATCTTCCAAAAATATCCAATATCTTCAATCTTTATGTTGGGTATTTCACAACAATACACTCGCACAACTTGCAAGGGAGGCCTCGCTCACTCTTTTTTATGCGCATGGGGTTTTCACTGTTGTGAACCCACGTCTTGTGAAGTCCTCACACAGTGTATTCATGGGGCACCCATGACATACACGAACAGCACGTGCACCCATGGGGCATCCATGGCGTGCATGTACAGGCCTGCCGAAAGTTCGGACAGCGGGCTCTCACCCCATGCTATTCAACGCCGCATGTGCGAGCTCAAACAATTTAATTAGGCCTCGCACGAGCTCCCCAAGCTTCATTGAGTACACCGTGTGTTAGGGATTTGACAAGGGCCTGGCCAAGGGGGCCAGGCGCGGCTTGGCCAGCACATGGGGCTGCATGACCTGCGACTTGGGGCACGGGCCTGCATACCTCAGCTTGCAACGCGCCAACTGGGATTTCTGACTGGTTGATGCTTGTCTTAATTACGCCTTGCATGAGCATCTCGACTGAGGTTGCGACTTCAAGGCAGGACTCTGCCCGGGCTCGCTCATGGGAAACGAGTTGCGTCGGCGAAGCCCCGCTCAAAGACATTCTCATGCCCAACTGGACAGACAAGGGATGACGCCCTCGTGCGTGGCCTGAATCAATTTTTCGAAGGCCTCGCACTCAATAGAAACAAGGCGAGGGTAATAGGTCAACAGGTGAGAGATTGAAATCATCTTGGAAATATGCCATCGCAAGGACTGGAAAACCTTGCTACCTGCTGTACTGAGGCTCAAGCGGGTGTATCGCTTGTTCGTATGCTCTGGTATGCTCTGGTTAAACTCACGTAGCAGAAAGCGCTGAAAATCACTGGCACGCCTGGCGTTGTATTGACCAATTGCCGCTTTGCCAACGGCTCGCCGCGTCGGACTCTATAACATCATCGCATGACTCATCACACAGACTCTCTATTATCATCACGTTGCTAACACATGAAAGATGGCTCACGCCTCTTGTTCTGTACGACGCCCTCCTGGCTTGACCTTTGTCAAGGTGCTCCTACACGCGTCCGCCTATGGATCTTGCCAGACCTTTGTCTTTCGACGCTTCCTGCGTAAAGTGCTTTGTGGGCCTTTGCCTCTTGATCTTTCCAACTGCGCGTGGAACGTCTGATCCTTGTCTGAATGGACCTTTGTCAATGTACTTCTGCCGGCATCTGCCTCTTGATCACTTCCGCGGCCCCTCGCAAGCAGGACCTGTGTCCACTTGAGCCGACGACAAGCGTCATGTGTCACTTAAGCGTGCCTGAGCTTGATTTTGCCCTTGTCGCCCTGTGGCTTGACCCTGCCGCGGTATCTCTTTGATGAATGAATGCGCTTCTTCCTGGTTCTTGCTCCAAAGGAAGGGGACCAAGACATTAATGAATGCACTGTAATCATCTCGGGACTCCCTCTTGGCGGGAACTGAAAAAAGCCACTTTCCGGTCAAGCCCAAGCTGGTTTATCGTGATTGTGTCTGCCTCAGTTTCAACTAGAGGCTGCTAGCAGCACTGCAAACAGCCTCACCGCACATGTAAAGTTGTATTTGTCTTGGCCCTTCCCACTGCGGTTCGCACCAGGACTTATTGTCGGCGCCATCTCATGACTTCTTTGTTTCAACTCATTCAACTCTGTCAATATGCGTCTGTGGGCCCTTGCCTCTTGATCTTTCCAAATGCCCTTACGTATCAGGACCTGTGTCCATATGTCTATGTGGGCCTTTGCCTCATGTTCTCTCCAGTTGTGCTTTCGCGATCAGGACCTGTATTCTCCCTCAACAAAACATGCTTTGAGGGCTCTTGCTTGCTTGCTTGCTTGCTTGCAGAGAATCCTGCTGGCGGAAGCGCATGTGCTGCCCAGTGGCCCTTATGCTACGGACCATCCTGCTATTTGTGTTTCAAAGCTTGCCTTGATCGCTTATCTTATTGGCCATGAGTGGTGCTTGGCTGGAGTATCGGAATGGCCCCCGAATTCCAAGCTCAGGGATGCACTCAACTGACGCGGCGGCCTCAGCCTAAAGAAAATACACATGCATTGACAAGGTAACACGCTGGTTTGTCATCAAGACACCAACGCACACTATCCGCAACTTCGACTTTCCTGCAAAGCGGGAGCGGTGACTGATTTGTTCTATTAATGTTAAAGGGAGAACCACGTAGGCAACTGTGTCCACGTGAGTTCTGAACTGCTCCCCGCACACTCAACTCCTCTCCGAAACCTGAAATAACTTCGAAAGCCTTGGTGTATTGGAACTCAGGCCTCCTGAGTCATAATCCTAATTGCATTTGGAAACATGGAGACACTTCTCCGATGGAACCCCAAAGTCTTTTCCCATGATGAGAGCTGGAATGCTCGCAGTGGCCGTTTACTTGCTCAGGTCCGGCCGCCGGCCTCAACCACATCTTATTACTTGCTTATGTTCCTTAATCTAAGAAAGCCCAATCGGTCTCTTTTGCTTCTTCTAGCGAAACAGGCGGGGTCAGCTTCAGGCTGCACAACTGGATCTGTATGCATCACGCCTACGCGGCGTGAGACAGGACGAACCGTCGCCAGGTGGCCCAACAAAGGATCTAAGCGCCAAACAACAAACCGACACCGACAACAGGGTGGGTGGGCAGGAGAAAAAAGCTACAAGTTTGAGAGCTCAGATGCTGCAGCATGAGTCAATAATTATTGCTCCGCTTAGATGCTTAATCTGAAGAAGCTCCGTCGGTCTATTTTCTCTAGCAAAGAGGCGGAGCCCGCTTTAGGCAGTACAAAAGCTGGGTCTGTATATACAACGCCAACGCGGCGTAAGACAGGACAAATCATTCTTCCCCTTCGAAGATCCGTTTTTCAAGTACCTCTACTACAGAAATCAACGTCTTCTGAATTCTCATCTCCGAAATTCATCCCCACACGGAAAGAAATTTAGAACGGGCGGAAAATCTCCGTTTTTCGACAACCTCTACGATGGAAATCGACGTTGAAAAGCCCCTAGAATCTTTCGAGAAAGCATTCCAACATGGAAGGCTTGCTGAGAGTGGGTAATGCGTTGTAGCTTCGTGGCTGCTGCAAAACTGGACTGCTATGGAGATGTTTCGGTGTCTTCTTGTCCGTGTGGATGGCCGAGCGGCTAAGACTTATGTTAAGGCAAATTGAAAACATTTCCGGCTTTCCCAGGGTTAGAAGGCGGTTTGAGAATCCCAAATTTTCTCAAGTGCTTAGT